GCTGCTCAGCTCGGGCTGGACTCGAACCGCTGTTGCTCAGAGCTCAAACTCTTGAGCGAGCTCTTAACCAACTGAGCCACTCGGCCAGCCCAACAATTTCTTTACCTCAATGACCTAGACTCCCAACACGAAAAACTCATCTGTCAGGTTCATATCCTTCAGAGACTCCAAAGATCACAAATAACATATCCACTTAGATAGACCGGGGAACACTTTAACCTGACGTTTGGCTGTCAAGACTGAAGTTTATTCATACTACAAACATTTACTGAGTACTTGAGCTATGTTCTTGGGAGTATACCGTTCATTCAACACATACTTTTGAGCACGTTCTTTTCCCTAGGCACTAGGGATACAAGGATGAACAAGGACATGATAATGTGACTCAGTTTACAGTAGAGCAGGAGGAGAAAGGGTGACAGAAAAAAACTCAGGGAAAAAAAAATCTGTAAAACAAACAAATCAAAGGTTGAGACAGACAATAATTAAGGAAAGGGAGACAAACAATTTTAGCTAGAGTAAGTTAATCTTAAGGGATTCTTCTCCATGCAGGATCTAAATTAGCTGAAATCACTTACTATGGAAAAAAGAAAAGTGTATCAGTAGAGTAAGAGTAGGCACAATAAACAGCCTAACATTAGGTAATTATTGTCCCATTTTATAATCATATACTTACAGTAAAGGCATAGTTGATTTTCTCTTACTATTAATTTCAAAATATTTTACTTCTTATGAAATTCATCTTCTTTAGGGAAAAATATAAAGAAAGAGCGAAGCAGGAAAAGGAGAGATGGAGGGAGGGAAAGAAAAAGGCATCAACAGGCAAATCCAATGTCTCAATAACTATAGTCTGGATGTTAACTTCAAATAGGAATGTGCTAAGGATCATAAAAGTGTACTAATTTGCTTATATACATACATATTATTATTAATATGTAAATATTATTTAAATGTTATATAGTTGTATAAATGTACACAAATGCCCTTAAGTTGTCCATTTCTCTTCCTCGCCCCCATTTCTTTACATCTGTGAGTTGTTATCAAATAAATCCTTTATCTCCTAAGAGGAGTGGGGGGGGGGGTTAGATGAAGTGGCAGAATAATTTTTCTAACATGTCCTTTGAATTTGTCATCATGTTGGACACTTGCTTTTAGCAGAGCATGCTTCCTAGTACTCACCTCATCTTCTTTCAGGGTTTGAAGGAACTCTTGTAATTTGTCTGCTGTTTTTTCTGTTGCCAGAGATAGAATTTTCTGGTCCATTGTTGCACATATCATGAAACTGTAAGGCAAAAATGTCAGAGGTGATGAAACTTCCAGAAGTAAACAAGCTTGATTTTTTTTTTCTTTCTCCCCTACCTGTTACCTGAGTACTTCATACATATTATAGACAACACACACGGTGGGTACTCAACAGGCTAAGGACTATTAACTAGTATGAGTAGGCAATTCCTATCCAAACAAAATAACCTTGACAATTCCCTGGAATTTCCTTATTAGAAACTTGTCTCCTAATCAAGCGGATTCATAATTTTGCCCACATTGTCTCCTATTTTTTTAGCACCGACCCAGGACACTGCATATAACAAAACTGTCATTTAACAGTATATCAAATATATAACTATCCATATATGCACAATACGTGAGCATATAATAAATGTTTGATCAATACACGGACAAGCAAATGGCGCTGTCCAGGCAAAGCGCCAATTAAACGGTATAAAAACAAATGAGAAAGTAAAGAAGCCTAAAGACGTAAATGTTCAAACGTGAAGGTTTCCCAGCAGAGGAACTCTTGAATTGGAACTTAAAAGAGACTAACTTTAGAGGGTCAGCATAACCAGATGGCGTTCACTGCACGCTCCCGGGAAGGCGAGCATCCTAAACAAAGCCACTCCTAGGAGAGTTTGCAAAACGTACTTGGGGGAAAAACGAGCCGACTGCTTAAGGGGACCAGTTCCAGCAGCGCGGCGCGCGCAGGAAGGCTAGAAGGCTGGGTATCAACCGCCAACACTGCAAATGTCCCATTAAGGAATTTAGACCTCATGCGACAAATTCCATAGAAAACCAGAAATTTGGGGAGCGAAAGAATCTGACAAGGCTGAAACAGCCGCATTTGGGGGAACTGAATTTGGCAGCAACGTGCAGCGTAAAAGGAGGGAGAAAGTCAGACTAGGAGGTTCCTGGGGCTAGCGTGGTGGGAGTGACAAAACGCTGTGTTAGCGTGAAATTTCTCGGACGCAGGAGCTGAGTCTTGATGCAGGGCTGAGGTGTAGCCCGCCCTGGGGGCGGGGGGGGGGACGCGGCGGGACACCGCGGCGCTTGGGCACCGTCCAGGCCACAGAAAGCACCAGAACGCCACGGCGGGACGGGGTCCCTCCGGTCCTCACAGACACGCTCCCTCACCCTCATCTCCGGGGCTGAGTCCCACCGCCCGAGCCGCGCGCAAAGCCCCTCTTGCACGGGTACCTCAGGCTCACCGCCACCACCAACTTCCAAAAAGCCCGCTCACCCACACGCTTTCGCCCTTCCGTTGCCGCGAACAACAGGTCCCGCCCCAACGGCTGACTTCCGCCGCCGGACTGTACCATTAAGGCAAATGGGGTGGGGAGAACCGCCGGGAGTCCTCGGACGTTCCCACTCACAGTTGGGGGGAGGCGCGGCCTGAGGACTGGAACGCGGGACCACAGAGTGAGCATGCGCAGGGTGGCCTAGGCGTATCAGCAGCGATGTCTTGACTGGTTAAGCTCTTCTTGGGTCCTGTTGGGGAAAGAGTCCAGGCGAGAGGGGAACGCATCAAGTGATGGTCCCACAGGTTTTTGCATTGGAAGCATCTGGAAGGCAGAGGCAGGCATCCAACTCCCTGTGCCAGTGGAGATGCCAGTAACCCCTCCCACGTATGAGAAATCCCAGCATTTGCACATAGCCTGCTAACGCAGTAAATGCTGGTTAAATGTTAAATTAACAACAAAGAGCAAAGAGCAACGCAGGAAAGGCCAGAGAGTCTATAGTCTATTTTCGGTGGAAGGAGCAGCTTGTGCAAAGGGCCTGGGAGCAACAAAAGAACGACCCTGGTTGGTTCGGGAGGTGAAGGTGTTTGGGATGGGAAGGCAGGGGCTTTTAAGTTCATTCGGGGCAGTGGAGAACAGCTAAAGGGGAAGGCCATGATTGTATTCACATTGTAGAACAATATCTCTAGCAGGTGAGTACTGCAGAGATTGTTCAAAACAGAGGATGGGGGTGGGAGGACTGAAGGCAGGACCCGTTAGGAGACAATCAGCTGTCCTGGAGATAGGTGGTGGTGGCCCAAAAGGTGGTAGCGGGGACAGGTGGAAAGGAGTGGACCACATGTGAAAGAAATTAGTAGATGGAGTGAACCTGGCTTGGGCACATGTGGCAAGAGTTGAGGAATATACAAACTTGAGTGAGTGAGGTGGTGGTGAGGAGGGGTGATCCTGCTAGTTGCCTGATACAGGGAGCACAGGAAAAGGTGCAGGTTTGGGGTGATGTTGAGGACTTCAGATTTGGACTTGCCAAAGGTGAGGTGCCCATGGGATGGCATGCGAAGGAATGTGAAGATTGGGGGCATTTAGTCTGGAACCTAACTCCCAGTCCCCAGGGGGAGGGCTGGGTCTACTTGGCCAGTTCTGGAAGAAACATGGCTGCTGGAGTAGAATGGTACCCCCCAGCTATTGGGGCAGCTCTTTGCATAGCACATATCTTAAGCATTTTTTCCTTTCACCACCTTTCTTTCCCAATGTTGAGCTGTGACATGTGGCTAACACACAGCAACTGAGTTGGAAGATTATTCCTGAAAGGACCCTTTAGTTTACCAAGGAAACAGATGACTTTACTTCATCTTCTCCCCACAAATCTCCCTGACAGGCTGCTTCCTTAAAAAGTGGCCCCTTGGGCCAGCCAAGGGGCACGTTGGTTAGGAATTGGCTTGGGACGCCAGCTCTGAGCAGCAG